CACCATCACCACCATCATCACCATCATCACCACCATCCATCATCATCATCATCATCATCATCACCACCATCATCACCATCACCATCATCATCACCATCATCACCACCACCATCATCATCACCACCATCCATCATCATCACCACCATCACCACCACCACCATCATCATCACCATCATCATCAAACCATCATCATCACAATAACCCCCCTCCACGCCATTCCCATCCACTATACCTTACCAGGATTTTGGTCTCCACAGAAAGTGCGTTTCGGTGATTTTAGCGTGCCACCATCATAAATTTCCACTTTATCATAAGAACACTTGCTATGCTTTTCCAAATTGAAGTCCTGGAACTTGACTTGCAGCAGCCGATCAAGGGGTACGCGGATCTCCCAGGTACATTCCTTTTTATTTGGGTACTTTTGTGGATAGAGGGGTGAAGTGAAACTGCCTGAATTACCGGTGAACAGTTTACCACACGGTACTGTTGAAAAATGAAGAAAGAAAAACGAAACTTCATTTATACTGGATAACTCTATCAATTCTGATCTGTTCTCCCCAGAGGTCCAGTAAGGATCATCTGTTATTAACCCAGTGTTACTACAGGAGGAAACCTAAACTAAACTAACTTTATTTATACTGGATAGCTCTATCAGTTCTAAACTGTTCTTCCTAGATGTCCAGTAAGGATCATCTCTTATTGATCCAGTGTTACTACAGGAGGAAACCTAAACTAAACTAACTTTATTTATACTGGATAGCTCTATCAGTTCTAAACTGTCCTTCCTAGAGGTCCAGTAAGAGTCATCTCTTATTGGTCCAGTGTTACTACAGAAGGAAATCTAAACTAAACTAACTTTATTTACACTGGATAACTCTATCAGTTCTAAACTGTTCTTCCTAGAGGTCCAGTAAGAGTAATCTCATATTGATCCAGTGTTACTACAGGAGGAAACATAAACTAAACTGACTTTATTTATTCCTACATGCTCAGTAAGGTAGTAGTACCTAGAGAAAACCTGTTGTCTTTGGTACAGTCAAACTGGAAGCACTGTTCTCACATGTGATTGAGGTGAAATTATAACGAGACAACTGAATGAAAGACGCATGCGCAAACCACTATGCCGACAACACCTGAAACTGTAGAATTTCTCACCCACCTTCCTTTCGTATATTCGTAGAAGTCCACTCCGCCTTGAAACCGCCCGTTCGCAGGTTGTTGCTCGTTCTTAACTGCAGGGTTACCACATTGCCCGACGACTGAACAATCACAGGTGAATTTTTGTTGCTACAGAATAGTTTCAAGATTGGTGCTTTGCCGTTCTCCCCATTTCTTACGATTATGTTATCTGTGGAGCATCTTGATCGGTTGGCTAAAAGAAGGAAAGATCAAGTTTGGAGAAGTTATTTCGTTGACCTCAGAATGACATTTCGTCAAAACCTTTTCTTCAATATTAGTTTAGAAACAAACTTTGAGTAGGGTTAGGGTTAGGGTAAGGATTTGGGTTAGATTTGGTGTTTGGAATAAGTTTAGTGTTAGTAAAACCGTTCCTTTGTTACGTTTTGTCGCTCTGAGGCCAGCGAAATAGCGTCTTCCTCATTTACGGCTGATGTTTGATAAAACTGAACTAACTTTGTTGATGCTGGTTAGCTCTATCAGTTCTAAACTGTTCTCCCTATAGAGATCCAGTAAGGAATCTGATCCCTTATTGATCCAGTGTTACTACAAGAGGAAACCTAAACTAAACTAACTTTATTTATACTGGCTCTATCCATTCTATACTTTTCTTCTTAGGCTATGCAAGAACTCCCCTTTACAAATGCCAAAACTCCATTTTCAAATACCAGAACTCCCTTGTCCCTTTTCAAATGGCAGAACTCCCTTTACAAATGGCAGAACTTGGTTTTCAAACGCCCGAATTCCGTTTTCAAAAACTGGGTTTTTTTAAACTGTTCTTGCTAGGCGTCCAGTATGGATTATCTCTTATTGATCCAGTGTTACTATAGGAGGAAACCTAAACTAAACTAACTTTATTTCTACTGGATAGCTCTGGAGTTCCAGTAAGGATAATCTCTTATCGATCCAGTTATACTACAGGAGGAAAGCTGAGTAGCCAAGGGAAATCTGTGCTGTTTGGTAGAGTCAAACCTAGAAGCACTCTTCTCACATGTGACTGGGATGGAATTATAATCAGACAACTGTATATTACAGGAATGGAGCCTATCACAAGCATTACCTTTCAAACGTATATACGTAAACTTCACTTTAATCTTCTTCCCTTTTTCCATTCTGATAATCCACTGACAACGCGAGTTTTGTGGGTAGTTAGGATACTGGGGTGAAGTCAGTTTCCCCTGGTTTTTTGTGAACACTGCGTGGCATGCTAAGAAAAAAACAACATTGTGTTACACATGTAAAAACGCGCAACTTGTTACAGATCTGTTAACAAGTTGTAACAAGGTTGTCGTTAAGCCAATATCAGGATATGTTCGCACTGCTTGTTCCCAGTTGTTGTGACAAGTCTGGAACAAGTTGTTGTCATCTTGTTACAAGGTTGATGACGGTAACAGACTTGCTACAAGTTGTTCCAACAAGACTAATACAGGCTGTTCGTAACAAGTTGCCACGAGCTTGTTGTCATCAACTTGTTAACAACTTGTTACGTGCAGACGATGTCAGACTTGTTGGAACAACTTGTTGCGAGTCTGTTGGCCTCATCAACCTTGTTACAAGATGATAACAACTTGTTCCAGACTTGTCAACAACTGGGAATAAGCAGTGCGAACACATCTCGTTGACAAGCTGTTTGCTGAGATTTTCACGCGTGTACTGCATACACACCCTAACACACGTAAAAACGCACAATTTGTTACAGGTCTGCAAACAAGTTGTTACAAATCTGTTCACAAGCTGTCGACAAGTTGTGTTCGCAATGCTTGTTCCCAGTTGTTGTAACAAGTTTGGAACAAGCTGTTAACAACTTGTAACAAGCTTGATGGCATTATCAGACTTGTTACAAGGTTGTTCTAACAAGTCTGATACAGTCATGATAAACAAGAATGTTACATGTTTGACGACACAAGGTTGTAACAATATTGTTATATCATGACTGTATCGGACTTGTTGGAACAATCTTGCAACAAGTCTGATAATATCAACAAGGTTGTTACAAGTTGTTTATAACAGCTTGTTTAAAACTTGTTGCCAACTTGGGACAAGCAGTGCGAACACAACTTGTTGACGGCTTGTTGGCGGCAGACTTGCTACAAGATGCGAGATTTTTGCGTGTGTATAACTAAAATTTCACGAGATAGACGAAAACTCACAAGTTGGGCAAGCTGTAACGAGACATCTTTTCGCTTCCATTCTGCCATTAGGACACGGCCGTCCGCCCTTAGCGGGGGTGGGGTTATTACAAGTTCTGTTCCTACGTTGATAACCCTGACCGCATGACTTGCTGCATCGACTCCAGGAAGACCATGTACTCCAAGCGCCATGTATTGCAACTGTACTACTAGAATCCTCGGTCGCTTGTGGTGGTGCCTCTTTAACAACGGCAGCGAAAGCTGCTACCTCTACGATTCATAAAAAAACCCATTAATAATGGACCATTTGCATTATAGACTAAATTTTGATCTAGACAAGAATTTCATCACAGCTTGAAAGAGCATCACAAAATTAGTAATATTCCAAAGTTTCGTTGCGAAATGTTGTAAAATGCGGATAATATAGCCATGCGAAGTTTGCCGTTTTTCAGTCACTTTGTATTACGCACGGGAAATTGACAGCCCAATGGGCTGTTAGGGCATCAATTTCCCGTTTGTAATACAAAATGACTAAAAATTGCAAATTTCGCAAGGCTTTATTATCCGCATTTTACAACATTTCGCAACGAAACTTTGGAATATTACTAATTTTGTGATGCTCTTTCAAGCTGTGATGAAATTTTTGTCTAGATCAAAATTTAGTCTATAATGCAAATGATCCATTCATGAGGAAACACAAAGAGAAATCATAAGCGTGTCATATCTTTATAGGTGATAGAGATTTCCCTTGATTTACATAAACTTTAACTTTGATTTTCTCGATTTACACAACGTATTTTTTGAAAATTACTTCGCCAATGAACTTACTAGATCGATCGTTTTTGAAGCAATTTAAAACATTCGCAGTGCGTGTTTTATCAGACCTAAAGATACTCGGCTTCGCCTCGTATTTTACATCTGATAAAACACTGCTGCTCACGTTTTAAACAGTACATAGAATTTATCTTTGATTTTCTCGGCTTAGACAACGTTGATTTTTTAAATTACTTTGCCAATGAACTCATAAGATGGGTCGTTTTTTTAAGTCTGCGCGCTCGTGTTTTATGGGTTTTTTTCTGATAAAGCATTTACGCGTGCTTTAAAAAATACGTCAAAGATATATTAACACAATTATCAAATTTTAAACATTTAAAAGTGTCGGAAAATCGCATTATAATACAAATGTAACAAGTTTGGAACAAGCTGTTAACAACTTGTAACAAGCTTGATGGCATTATCAGACTTGTTACAAGGTTGTTCTAACAAGTCTGATACAGTCGTGATATAACAAGAATGTTACAAGTTTGACGACACAAGGTTGTAACAATATTGTTATATCATGACTGTATCGGACTTGTTGGAACAACCTTGCAACAAGTCTGATAATATCAACAAGGTTGTTACAAATTGTTAACAGCTTGTTCCAAACTTGTTGACAACTTGGGACAAGCAGTGCGAACACAACTTGTTGACAGCTTGTTGGCAGACTTGCTTCAAGATGTAGTAGGGATAATTGTGCCCGTGATTTCTGGCCATGAGTAACTATGACATTGGTTCTAGTTGGTCCATTTTAATAATCTTAGTGTCAAAATTTCTCCCTTAGATTGAATTTTCGAGTTTGAGTAATAATTATAGCTAAACGTCAGCTCAATAAACTCCACAAATACCAATAAAACGGACTTTGTAAACAGTGATCGTATTGCCAACTTTCTTTGCATGCTTTATTTCTACTTACTTTGCCGTTGTTGTCCACAGAGGTAGTTATCATTCCAACCGTTACTACCATTTCTTGCGAACCACTTTATACACGCTAAACCACGTATTGGACCGGAATGAGACCATTGAAACCTGTAACCACAAATATTATTTTTTAAGCGGCACTGTCGTACTTTATCACTAACATCATCAGTAGATTCATCATTGCCCTCATCATCACAACCACCATCATCAACATCATCACGATCATCATCAACATCATCACGATCATCATCAACATCATCAACATCATCACGATCATCATCAACATCATCACGATCATCATCAACATCATCACGATCATCATCAACATCATCACGATCATCATCAACATCATCAACATCATCACGATCATCATCAACAACATCACGATCATCATCAACATCATCACGATCATCAACAACATCATCACGATCATCATCAACATCATAACGATCATCATCATCAACATCATCACGATCATCATCATCACGATCATCATCACTATCATCATCGTCAACACCATTATCATCACCACCATCATCATCACCACCATCACCATTGTCACCATCAATCATTATCTCGATTACCACCACAAATCATCAACAGTATCATCATCATCACCACCACAACCATCATCATCACCATTATCATCACTACCATCACCACCATCATGATCACCATTATCACCATCATCATCACCACCACCACCAGTACCAACACCATCATCACCCTCACCACAAAACACGTACCTATATTCCGAATCAGCAGGCAGGCACAAGTAATTATCATTCCAGCCACTGCTCTCCTGCGGCTCATTAACCTTGAGGCATCTCATACCACGCTGGGTACCCATGTCAGACCATTTCATATTAATCCGCTGTTTCGATCCAACAGAACAAAAGTAGTAATTCTTCCAAGTGAGTTCTGCTCTCCGCTCGTAAACACGCACACAGTTGTGATCATAGGGAGTGTGAGAGAACTGTTTGAACATAAAATCATCTGGCCAAATTGGTGGCTCTGGAAATAAAAACATTGACGGGTAAACCCCGGTCAAAAGACAATTCCCATTATAGACTAATTTTTATCTTGGCAAATAAAAGTACATTCCCGGAAAGAGTATACTCAAATGAGTAAAATTGCAAAGTTTGGTTGCGAAATGTTGTAAAATGCGGAAAATATAGCCTTTCAAAGTTCGCAAATTTTGTATACTTTTCTATTGCGTGCGGAAATTGCTACCACATTTGAGCCGAAAATGGTAACAATCCTGTTATTTTATCAAGTTGCTAAACGATCTCCTTGACAAATTGTTGTGAAATCATTAATAATTAATGAAGAAAACACAAAAGAAATCATGAGCGTGAAGTAGTTTGTATATCTGATGCAAAATCATGTTGATTTACGTAAACTTTAAGTTCAATTTTCTCACCAAATATTAGTAATTTATTTTAAATTGTTGAAGAATACGAATGTTCTCATCAAGACGTTTCACAAGCCATTGAAACGTCTCACATTTGCATCCGTGTTGCGTCGAATATACAAACTTTTGTAAATACAGTAGTACTTAAACAATTGTTGAAATGCAGGACGATAGCAAGTTCTAGTTTCAAGAACTTATAACAAGTCTATTTAATAGTCAACAGCTTTATAGTAAGTCCGCTGTGTCTCTGTAACAACTTGTCAACAATATGGGAACAAATAGTGACAACACAACCTAATAATCAGCTTGTCCGAATAACCATGTAACAAGTCTGTAACAGATCTTTAAGAACGTGACAACAAGCTGGAAACATCTAGTAAGAACCCAACCTCAACCTAGCCACAGCGACATTGTAGACACAAAACGCGACATATTACCTGAACATTTCTGCACATTACAGAACCGTCTATTGTAATCCAGTCCATAGCAAGGCTTCCCATAATTCTTTGGTACAGGATTTGTACAATAACGTCGTTGTACTTGATATCCTCCGCCACACACCCGGTTACATCTCGTCCATGAAGACCACGCTGTCCAACCTCCGTCGATTGCTAAATACAGTCGGGAAGATTGGTAATTATATTATGTAAGTTTTTGCAAAGATAGCTCTATGCCTCTATCAGTTCTAAACTGTTCTCCCTAGAGACGTAAGAGCCATCTCTTATTGATCCAGTGTTACTACAAAAGGAAGCCCAAACTAAACTAACTTTATTTATACTGGATACCTCTATCAGTTCTAAACTGTTCTCACCAGAGATCCAGTAAGAGTCATCTCTTATTGATCCAGGGTTACTACAGGAGGAACCTAAACTAAACTAACATTATTTATGCTGAGTAGCTCCATCAGTTCTAAACTGTTCTCACCAGAGATCCAGTAAGAGTCATCTCTTATTGATCCAGTGTTACTACAGGAGAAAACCTAAACTAAACTAACTTTATTTATACTGGATAGCTCTATCAGTTCTAAACTGTTCTCCCTAGAGGTCCAGTTCATCTCTTATTGATCCAGTGTTACTATGTAGGAGAAAACCTAAATTAAACTAACTTTATTTATACTGGATAGCTCTATCAGTTCTAAACTGTTCTTCCTAGACGTCCAGTAAGAATCATCTCTTATTGATCCAGTGTTACTATGTAGGAGGAAACCTAAACTAACTTTATTTATATTGGATAGCTCTATCAGTTCTAAACTGTTCTTCCTAGACGTCCAGTAAGAATCATCTCTTATAGATCCAGTGTTACTATGTAGGAGGAAACCTGAACTAAACTTACTTTATTTATACTGGATAGCTCTATCAATTCTAAACTGTTCTTCTTAGAGGTCCAGTAAAGGCCATCTCTTATTGATCCAGAGTCTCACTGTACCACCAACAAAAGTAAAAAATAAATATATTCAAAGTCACTTACGCCCGTCAAAAAACTTCGCGCATAGAAACGCCTTGCTGCCAGCACTTTCGTTCTTGGTAGGCCACCCCAAGCAACCGAGGCCTGCGATTGGACCATTTTCTGACCAATGAAATTTATACACGGAGTCATTCGCCACGCATAAATAATTGTCGTTCCACCATCCCAACCTGATAAAAATAAAAGTAAATTAACTAGAAGGCATTCGAGGACTACATACCTCCGAATTAAGTTATGTATCATAGACAACTTGCATGTTAGACTAATTTTTGATCTAGGCAAAAAAAGTAAATTCCCGTAAAGAACTTATTAAAATTAGTAAATTTGCAAAATTTGGTTACGAAATGTTGTAAAATACGGAAAAAGTAGTCTTGCGGAGTTTGCGTATTTTGTATATGTTTGTATTACGTGCGGAAATTGTTACCATTTTTGAGCCGAAAATAGTAACAATTTCCGCACGTAATACAAACATATACAAAATTTGCAAACTTTGCAAGACTATATTTTCCAAGCTTTACAACATTTCGCAACCAAATTTTGCAATCTTACTAATTTCATTATGTACTTTTTAGCTGTAGTATTTGATTCCCTTCTCTTTACTTAGATTAAAATTTAGACCAACATGCAAGTTGGCCATTATACAATGTCAATGGATAATTAGTTACGCATTTAACCAAAATTTAATCAGTTTGTCCTTAGGCAATCTTTACCAGTTCCAAGGCATTTTTTAATACCATGGACTGGTGGGGCATTTGCCCCACTGGACCCCTTCCTCTGCCCCACCACTGAAGAAAAAAATGGCCTATTTCCCCAAAGCCAGGGCCCCCTAGGACCTGTATTCAGTAAATGAGTTTATAAACATTGAAAAGAAGTTTAAAAACATAATTTGTTGGTGAGCATTAAACTTATGTTGTTTTTGAATGTTTAGTGTGCAATTTACTGCAAATTTCACCATTAAAACTTTGTTTTGCGAAGCTAAGATTTTTTTAAAATGTGTTCTCGGAATGCAGAAAATGCTTCAGAGACTCCAATATTAAATATTTCCCAGAACCCTAGCTAACTTGTGGCTTCGGTACTCGGCTCACACCTTCGGCGATCGCATACTATCCATGCAGAGGGGAGGGCAAAGAGAGAATCAGAGAATGAGCTCTTTGGCAGTTTTGCCCCACTACTGAAGAATCCTTAAAAAATGCACTGACCAGTTCCACAAATTTTGTATTAATACGTTTGATATTTTATATGTTATCGTACTGACAGTCAGACACAGACATACTTCCCTACAGTACCTACCTATCTTCTCCATAAGGTGATGTGATATGCGTACAGTCTAATGATGTCGTTTTGCCCGCGTGGGACCACGAGATGGCGGCATCTTTCTTCGTGTTGTTGTGACAAAGATAAACAGGTTCTTGTTGTTTTTCTTTGGGCTCGTTTAACAGGACGCAATGTTTGCCAGGAATTGTTTGCGCTGAGAACTTAAAGTCTTTAGGGAATTTTGGAAACTTCGTTTGTTTAACTAAATTGAATAGATGGGAAAATTGATTTACATATTTACAGCAACATAAGCAAAACTTAACGAACTTCAGACTTTATTTTCCCTTTGGCGTAACATCTAAAATCTCCTCATTTTACCATTATTTTGCATATACGCACTAAGCGAACTTTTAAAGCTTGTTTGGCGCTTGAGAATCATATCAAAAATAACAATTTTTGAATGCAGGTCTACAATAGTCACAACCGACTTTTGAGCGCTTGTTACATAACATACAAAATATCTTCTCTTAATAAACCAACGCCTAATTCTTCCTCTTGATAAGTAAAACGGCCTGGCGTTAGACAGAGTTAAAAAGCAAGCCGCATTAAGGTTCAATTATTCGACAAACCTGGACAGTTATACACAAGATTAGCTTGTTTTATATCCAAAGGACTTAAATGAATATTCCCAAAGTCTTTCACATTGCTATTTTTCGCCACAATGGTCGCTTTTCGGTTACTGCTAAATGCATAGTTGCCATAATGCATGATAGATTTGAAGTCATACGTCACGTTTCGACTGTTGATGCGAATCTTGTTGTATTTATCGAAAGCAAATCTGTAGTCTATGAGATAAAGGGAAAATAATAAACTTTACACCTTTGTTTTTCTTGGAGGTCCAGTAACGGTCATGTCTTGTAGGACCAATGATATTATAGGAGGAAACTTGAACTAAACTAACTTTACTTATACAGGATAGCTCTATCAGTTCTAAACTGTTCTTCCTAGAGGTCCAGTAAGAGTCATCTCTTATTGATCCAGTGTTACTACAGGAGGAAACCTAAACTAAACTAACCTTATTTATACTGGATATAGCTCTATCAGTTCTAAACTGTTCTTCCTAGAGGTCCAGTAAGAGTCATCTCTTATTGATCCAGTGTTACTACAGGAGGAAACCTAAACTAAACTAACCTTATTTATACTGGATATAGCTCTATCAAATGTAAACTGTTCTTCCTAGAGGTCCAGTAAGTACAGTATCATCTCTTATTAATTCAGTGTTTAATACTACAGGAAGAAACTTAGACTACACACGGAAAAAAGTTGTAACAAGTCTGCAAACAAGTTGTTACAAGTCTGTTCACAAGCTGCCAACAAGTTGTGTTCGCATTGCTTGTTCCCAGTTGTTGTAACAAGTTTGAAACAAGCTGTTAACAACTTGAAACAAGCTTGATGGCATTATCAGACTTGTTACAAGACTGTGCTGACAAGTTTGTTACAGCCACGATATAACAAGGATGTTACAAGGTTGTCAACACAAGGTTGTAACAATCTTGTTATATCAAGCATGTAACGGACTCGTCAAAACAACCTTGCAACAAGTCTGATAATTTCGACAAGGTTGCATGTTACAAGTTGTCAACAAGTTTTTCCAAACCTGTTGACAACTTGTGACAAGCAGTGCGAATACATCTTGTTGACGGCTTGTTGGCAGACTTGTTACAAGATGTGAGATTTTTACGTGTGTATATACTGCGCTATATACATACCTGGAATGATATTATTCCACATGATATCGACATATCTACCTCTATCAGGACGGTTTTGCTCATGCCAGAAGCCAGCGACATGTCCTAACTCATGTATAATAACACTTGTGTCTGAGCACCCTCGTCCTAATGATACATACTGGCGACCACCCTTGCGACCCACATCTGCATTGCACCTACAACCAAAGAAAAGACATCAATGTATTAAGCACACGTAAAAACGCGCAATTTGTTACAGATTTGCAATGACAAGTTGTGACAAGGTTGTTATGAAGCCGATATCAGGATGTGTTCGCACTGCTTGTTCCCAGTTGTTGTGACAAGTCTGGAACAAGTTGTTATCATCATGTTACAAGGTTGATGACGGTAACAGACTTGCTACAAGTTGTTCCAACAAGACTAATACAGGCTGTTCGTAACAAGTTGCCACGAGCTTGCTGTCATCAACTTGTGGACAACTTGTTACGTGCAGACGATATCAGACTTGTTGGAACAACTTGTTGCGAGTCTGTTGGCCTCATCAACCTGGTTACAAGGTGATAACAACTTGTTCCAGACTTGTCAACAACTGGGAACAAGCAGTGCGAACACACCTTCTTGACAAACTGTGAGATTAAGATATTTTGTAAAATATCAGATCCAAAAATCTAGCTTACCCAACACCGTACATAAAGATAACATAATCTCGATCTTTACTTTTCTTCTTTCGGAATTTAATGCATGTATACTTTTTCCACTCTTTGATCGCTTTCTCCAGGTTGGTCTTGAACATTGATCGATCAACTAATAATTAAGAAAATTGATTTAAAATACTTTGATATATAGTAATGAGTGATTCCAGCTGTAGACTAAATTTTGATCTAGGCCAAGAAGAACGAAATCCAACACCACAGCTAGAAAGAGCGTCTTAGGATGAGTAAAACTGCAAAGATTGGTTGCTAAATGTTGTCAAAATAAAGAAAATATAGCCCTGTGAAGTTCGCAAATTTTGTATAGCTATATTTGTATTACGCGCGGTATAAAAATAACCACTTTCGGCTCAAAAATGATACAAATATATACAAAATTTGCGAACTTCACAGGGCTATATATTTTCTTCATTTTACAACATTTCGCAACCAAACTTTGCAATTTTACTCATTTTAAGACGATCGTTTCAGCTATGGTAATGGATTTCGCTCTTCTTGTCCAGCTGAAATCATATATCCATTAATCCTCAGCAAATGCCAAAATGAAATAGGTTTAAATGTAAGGCTTGCATGGGTGGGGCCGAGACAAATTGGCATGTGTAGATGCTTTGGTTTCTGAACGCCAATGAATTCTGTGGCAAAAGCGTTCGAATTCAAAGCATTTAAACGGTTTGTTATAAGATGAGATAAACTTCACTCCAACCAAAGCTACCAATACTGGATACGAAATTTTGAATAGAAAGCTTATTAAATTTAGAGGAAAATGGTTATTTTTCTCGGGCGTAATGCAAATATATACAAAATTTGCGAACTTTACAGGGCTATATATTTCCTCATTTTACAACAATTCGCAACCAAACTTTGCAATTGTACCCATTTAAAGATGCTCTTTCCAGCTATGGTAATGGATTCCGATCTTCTTGTCTAGATTTAGAAATTACAGTCAAAATTTCCTATATAGCTAGAATCATCCATTTAAAGCTAAATAATATTGTATTTTTCTACTAAACGGTGGATGCGTGCCTCCCACTCCTTAGCGACAACCATGAATGGATGGTTATGATACGGAAGTAAACGTGGTACTTACGTATGGTCTTATGAATGATATAAGGTATCACACCCTTTGTCCATAATTTTCTCTCGTCCCGGGCCGCCGCATCCAGCTCGCCTTCTCCTGCACCACTTCGGAATGGCGGTAGACGAATATCAAATTTATGAACATTCATTAACCTTTCTAAAAAAGGAAAAAACCCACATTTGTTTAGAAACAAATTAAACTAACTTTATTTATTTTGGATGACTCGATCATTTCTAAACTGTTCTTCCTAAAGGTCCAGTAAGGATCATCTCTTATTGATCCAGTGCTACTACAGGAGGAAACTGAAACTAAACTACTGTAACTTTATTTGTACTGGATAGCTCTTTCAATTCTGAAGTGCTAAACTGTTCCTCCTAGAGGTCCAGTAAGGGTCATCTCTTATTGATCCAGTGTTACTACAGGAGAAAACTTAAACTAAACTAACTTTATTCATACTGGATAGCTCTATCAGTTCTAAACTGTTCTTCCTAGAGGTCCAGTAAGGATCATCTCTTATTAATCCAGTGCTACTACAGGAGGAAACCTAAACTAAACTAACTTTATTTATACTGGATAGCTCTATCAGTTCTAAACTGTTCTTCCTAGAGGTCCAGTAAGGATCATCTCTTATTGATCCAGTGTTACTACAGGAGGAAACCCAAACTAAACTAACTTTATTTATACTGGATAGCTCTATCAGTTCTAAACTGTTCTCCCTAGAGGTCCAGTAAGGATCATCTCTTATTAATCCAGTGTTACTACAGGAGGAAACCTAAACTAAACTAACTTTATTTATACTGGATAGTTCTATCAGTTCTAAACTGTTCCTCCTAGAGGTCCAGTAAGGGTCATCTCTTATTGATCCAGTGTTACTACAGGAGAAAACTTAAACTAAACTAACTTTATTCATACTGGATAGCTCTATCAGTTCTAACTGTTCCTCCAAGAGGTCCAGTAAGGATCATCTCTTGTTGATCTAGTGTTACTACCGGAGGAAACCTAAACTAAATTAACTTTATTCATACTGGATATCTCTATCAGTTCTAAATTGTTCTTCCTAGAGGTCCAGTAAGGATTATTTCTTATTGATCCAGTGTTACTACAGAGTACATCTTACATGCGAACACAAAGGACCCACACGGAGCAGTATAAACGATATAATCAACCTTTACATCAACAACTCAATTTAGGTTCGAAACAATCTCCCAGGTTACTTTCAACCTTATGACAGACCCGGCGCCATATTGTCCGCTCATCACATTATTAGCAAAGTACAGGTGCGTATTGCAATTAGAAAAAAAAACAACTTAAAAAAATTACAAGTGAGCTTGTGAGAATTACACGACCTGACCTTCGTCGAAATAATTAAATCACTCTACAGTTCTGTCAACAATTATATCATCTCAAGTTTTGATGGTGGGATAAAATGCTTGAAAAATGGTATTGCTAGCCCGTTTTCTCTTGTGGTATGCAATTTAACAATACAGAATGGCTTTTACTAGACCTCTGCGAAGAACAGTTTAGAACGGATAGAGCTATCCAGTATAAAAAAAGTTAGGCCACGGTCAAACGTCGAACTTTTCACGTGCCGAACCTAATGCAAATGCACTAATGAAGTGAAACAAAGAACATTAGGTTCGTCACATGAAAAGCCGGTTCGACGTTTGACCCTGGCCTTAGTTTAGTTTAGGTTTCGTCCGGCAGCACTGGATCAATAAGAGATGATCCTTACTGGACCTCTAGGAAGAACAGTTTAGAACTGATAGAGCTATCCAGTATAAACAAAGTTAGTTTAGTTTAGGTTTCCACCTGTAGTAACACTGGATCAATAAGAGATGATCCTTACTGGACCTCTAGGGAGAACAGTTAGAACTGATAGAGCTATCCAGCATAAACAACAGGGGCGGCGGAACAGGGGGGGCTAGGGGGGCTAAAGCCCCCCCAGAAGTAAAAGTGGGGGGGCTTAGCCCCCCCAGAAAATTTGAATTTTTTGAAAAAATTTTGATAATTAGGGAAAAATTTAGGTTATTTTTTGAAAATTTAGGTATAAGGGACAAATTTGCAATATTTTGTTTAAAAAAAGTGTATTTCCGAAAAAATTTTTTTCGTCCCTTTTTTTGTATATTGTACCCCTAAAGCGGTACACTGACCGAAATTTTTTTGGCGACGGGGGGGAGGGAAGGTCGCCGAAAAATTTAGCCCCCCCAGAACGAAATCTGTTCCGCCGCCGCTGATAAACAAAGTTAGTTTAGTTTAGGTTTCCTCCTGTAGTACAGAGGCGAAACTTGAGGGGGTATGGGGGGGGGGGTGACACCCCCAAAATACGAATCATCCCAATTGGCAGGGCAATCAAAATGCGAAAAGTAACTTATTACAGCTAGCAAACAATAAACAGTTCGTATGCATGTACATTGACATCGGCAGTTCAATTATACACGTAGCTTAGTGATGTATTGTATTAGCGCTGCAGGCTGCAGGGCAACATTGGTTTTGGCAGGGCAATTCTGCCAGACACCCCCTAATTAAAAGAGGCTAGTTTCGCCCCTGCTGTAATAACACTGGATCACTAAGAGATGACTCTTACTGGACCTCTACGAAGAACAGTTTAGACTGGTAGAGTTATCCAGTATAAATAAAGTTAGTTTAGCTTAGGTTTCCTTCTGTAGTAACACTGGATTAATAAGAGATGATCCTTACTGGACCTCTAGGAAGAACAGTTTAGAACTGATAGAGCTATCCAGTATAAATAAAGTTAGTTTAGTTTAGGTTTCCTCCTGTAGTAACACTGGATCAATAAGAGATGATCCTTACTGGACCTCTAGGAAGAACAGTTTAGAACTGATAGAGCTATCCAGTATTTATAAAGTTAGTTTAGTTTAGGTTTCCTCCTGTAGTAACACTGGATCAATAAGAGATGATCCTTACTGGACCTCTAGGAAGAACAGTTTTTGAACTGATAGAGCTATCCAGTATAAATAAAGTTAGTTTAGTTTAGGTTTCCTCCTGTAGTAACACTGGATCAATAAGAGATGATCCTTACTGGACCTCTACGAAGAACATGTGCAGTTTAGAACTGATAGAGCTATCCAGTATTTATAAAGTTAGTTTAGTTTGGTTCATGGTGCGACACAGTCGGGCACCATGCAGGCTTGTCAACACAGTTATCTATTGGTGACGTATCGTCTGGTTACGCAACTGGGTTTCTGTCAGCATTTTGACGGATTGATGAAAAGTCCGAAAAATATAATAATTTAAAGCATGTAAAATGTCCTTGAAATATAAAATATACTACTAAATTTAATGACATACTATTAACTGCATAATATCCATAATATTAATCTTCGACAAATTCCAAAAAAGTCCGACTATAAAATTGCCGGGCTTTCGAAAGTCCAAAAATTTTGTAGAATGTTTGGGAGTGATTTGCCCCTCGGATCATAACCCGTATATCTTGATAAATACGACATTAGACAACTGCTGTATAAGGGAAATATCAGGCATGAGTTGTTCCCAGAATCTTTGCCAGAAAAGATCACGGTTTTTTGGCTAATTCGTCTGACTAAATCATCTTGTGTTTTAATACGTCAGGAGACGGATGGTGCCTTGATAATGTGTTCAAAGGGTTGAGCTGTCTATGTATTTGACGTATATTAATACGCTATAAAACCCACTATAAAAATAATATCCGGTGTGTGTTGTTCCCACAAAAACGGCCAACGTGCATCACGCCAAATTAATCAAGCTAAGAGGGTTTAAAGCGAATCACGCAAACTGGTTCGATTATTGTATTATTATGCGCAAACACCGCAATAGAAAACAAGAACGAAGGAGAGATCGTTGTATAAACTTGGTTAGTGATTTATCAGAAGAGCACAAACTTCACCACTTGCTCCCACCAAAGAAGTGTCAGATAATAACAAGAAATACCAGATCTAACAAATATCTTTTTTATAATTTAATAGTAGATCAAATAGATTTAAATTCAGTCCAATTCCGTATGCTGTAGACACTTTTAACTCTAATAACAATGGATGATGTTTTATCTAGTAACTAATCTTTGTAAATTGCATAGTAATTTAGCTTTGTGTTATTGTATGCGATATTTTAGACCAGTTTAATAAAAATAATAATAATAAAATAAAGTTTGCCAAATTTTGATCAAATCAGGAAAAATGACAAATTCCAAGTAGGATCGAAATGTGCGTATTATTTATTTGTAATTCTATACCGTGTAAATTTACATATCATTTGTCACTGCTATTGAAACGATTACACTTATTTTGCCCGGAGCAATGGTAAAATTTTCTGCCGAACCATTCTAGATTTCGGCCTTCTAGAAATGATCAAATTTCATTTTATCAAAAGCTCTTTCATTGTGTATTAATTAAGCACAAGCATTAGAGACATTACATTCAATGTAAAAAATTTCTTAATCTGATGTTAAACCGCATTCCATTATGCCACTATTTGCTGCCCTATAGCGCTTTAAAGAAATATGCATGTATACAAGAAATAGCATTGCTTCGTTCTCATTTAAAAGATTGCTTTTGTTTTGTCGTTGGAAATTAAAGCTGTCTTGGGTAAATAAAACTGTATATTTATTTAAGAACGTAGCAGTTTTCTACAGTGCAAATTCAGCAGGGCGCAAAATCGCTGGATAAATGCGCTTTAAAAACAACGTTAAACCTACCTTTGCCGATATTTGCTAATATTATTCGATCCATGGCAACCAACTGTTTTTTACCGTTCGCAAATAGCGACCCACATTGTAATACGACGCATATAAACCATAGCAGCTTATAAACCATTGCGCTTTTCTGCGAATCAACACGGCGGATTGATACTTTCAACTCTAGGAGCGCAAATGAATTTCGTGCGACGACTGTCGCGATTTATGCAAAATGTATCAACACTGGGCAACTGCGAAAAGCTACGGTGTGGTTTTGTTGACGCATGAAAAGATACATCTAGATACGTCGCTAAATTTTATTAACATTGCGGTTTAACGCGCTATTTAATTGAATTTGTCTTTCATCGCTTTGGGAAGAAAGTAATCTGATATTGAAATGAAATAAAATACGGGGGGAGGGGTTGCGGTTAGTATCGTATCGTATCGTATCGTAAAAAATTACTTCAAGACGAGGGGCGTCGTCAATTTATACACAAAGTATTTACAAGAAAATACGTAGAAACAAAGAAAAACTATTTACAAAAGTGCATGCTGAATACAGGAGGCGTGACCCATATATTAACATTAGTAACAGAATCAAAGATTAATATTTTCTTTGAAAATATGGATTGATCGTGCCTCTCAGTTGCCGCTTCCCGAGAAAGGCTATTCCAAAACTTTGCCCCGCTGTATGTAAAACTTTTTTCAGGAATTCCCTTTTGGGAGAGCTAAATCAGTATAGCTATTTCTTAAGTTATAGTTCGCTTGCGTGAAACTACTCCCAATCAATGACCCTTTCAAGTTAGGAGCTGTATAAACGTTTAGAATTTTAAATGATGCCGTGTCTCAGAGTTGACCAATTGAACTGGGTAGAACGAGACTCCTGTAATTTTAGTTCAATACCCTGAATAAATACGATATCTATACACTTTTTTCACCTGACCAGGAACGGTTGCCAAAAATGCAACACTAGGTCCACTGGCAGGAATCGAAACTGCGGCTCTGCGATTCCGGTGCAGCGGTAAAAACATAACCTAGCGGACATAATAGAATTACGCCTGTATTCTCATAAAAGCTCACTCACACTCAATGAGTGGAGGTTCAATCTGAGCGGCTTCTCTTGAGTGTCAATGCTGTTTTTGAATAGCTGGAGGGCGAGTATTCACCAAGTAAGGTACGATACTAACCCTCCAGCTATTCTAAAACAGCAATGACACTCGAGAGAAGCTCAGATTGAACTTCCACTCAATGAGTGTGAGTGTGAGTGAGCTTTTAGAATACGGGCGTTAGTCTCGGTTTTCCAACGGGGTTTTTTAATTTCATCAGTTCATTAGTCCTGATTAGTTTTAGTCAATTCACCTTTGTGTTTTGGTCTTGAAAAATAACTTTTATGACCAAACATCAGGAACGGTACATGGGCGACAAGTCGAAATTTTCCCATGGATTTTTGTGACCACAGACAGTTGTATATTTTTCAGCTATCATGCTGACGGGCAGACAAACACAGAGAGACAAATATAGACAGACAGAAAAACATAGCCCCTGGCTAAGGTTATTATATATAGGATACCAATATCGCAAGCGACGATGCAATAAAACCACCCGGACCCACCACAAAGTCCACAAGTAGAAATCATGAACCGGATTCCAAAATTGAGTTAAACTATAGAAAGTTTGCCATGGTTTGCCCAGGATGTTGTCAATATATCGAAATGCCAAAAACGATAGGAATTTATATCGATTTTTTCATACCCTTTTATGCCCTTCTCCATGATTTGTTTGTTTGCCTCAAGCAAATTCCAAATATATATCAACCCCCATACTTAGGGAATGTTTTACATAAGGGAGTGTTTATCTTTCTTTTATACGTTCTGTGAATATATATTGGAAGCATTTCGTGTCTAGTACTTCTAGTAATGATGAATCAGTAGACCCCGAATATCGCTATTGTTAACGAATAAATTGTCAACTTTGATTGGTAAGTGTTTTGTCAGTTATGATAACGGAACATAAGCAAGAGAGTTAGGAATAATCATCGACTTTTGGGAAAGTTAGTATTTTCAAATTTTTGAAATTGCTATGTGCGTGTCTGTATATCAGTGTGTTGTGTGTTTATCAGCATAATTTTAAAATATCAAACCGTCAATTAAATGCCCAAAACTTTGTGAGACAAATGGACATTGTCATTGCCAAAGGACAAATTGATAAAAATTTGATTAAAGTTGGCTAAAAATTGCATGAGAAATTAGCAAAAGGTTGTCTTGCTTATAATTTATACATGATCCACTAGATGTCGTATATTTTTGTTGGGAATGATGACACGACTTCCGTGAACTCAAGAAATAAGATTTCCTATAAGATCTTTTCATTTCCTCAATGACAATGTACATAGGCTTTAGAATATGGCGGTAATTATCAATCTCCTTGAGTGAACCGGATCGATTTGGGTTGAGTTAATTTAATTTTGTTTTTCGATGAGTAACTTTTAATAGAAATGATATTATGGAGCACGCATAATTACGCATTGAGGGAAGGGGGGGGGGATTATTCACCCATCAGGCCCATGTACATTATTCTAAAGCTTATAGTTACCTTTGTTTTATTCTATGAACTATAGTAACTAGAGGCATGTGAGTTAAGGACCGGTTATTATTCACCGTATGGCAGGGGGTGGCACCAAAGAGAAAAGGGTTGGGTAAACAAAATTTTGAGTGAGTAAAAGGTTGGGTAAATGAAAAACGAAAGAACTCAAGGGTTGGGTAATAAAAATTTATTGTCATTTTCAAAGCATGACTCATTCAAATATTGAAGACTAAAAAACAATGCCGAACAGTCATATGTCAATACAATATGTGACTCAATCAGAGTCACTATCAGTTGATTATTTTCCGATTTGTTGGGATTAAATGGTGTCTCCAAAGAAGGTATATGTGCAGACAACATGAAACTTCAGACTGCAGAAAAGTCAGTAAATTGCACAAGCAGTTATCAAACTCTTGTCTGAGAAGTGGTAAAGGACATGTGTGATCAACAACATGAATGACATCCTTTTGTAGTTTTGGCCAGGAGTGAGTGTTTATTTTTTAAATTATACTTGAAGTAGGGTAATCAAATTTTTGATTTTTTAAATAATGACCAGTCCCTTATCTAAAGTTGTCGGAATTGGGTGTGAATAAACGCCAAAGTAGTCTATTATTTATTTCTCTGCACAAAATATAAGCTAGGAATAAAGTGTGGATAAATAGGAAGGAAACTTCTCAATGACAATCCTCATGGGAAGATTGAAAAAACAGGGCTAATTTCAATTGAAAGCTGTTAAAAAACAGCTAGTTTATAGCTATATGTAGTGTTCTGTGGGGGAATTCACAACTTTTTTATATCAAAACAATTCAATAGTCTAATTAGGAAACTGGCATGAGGGAAACCAATTTTCCCTTGTTAAGAAGGATATCTGATGACCTCATTGCTATAATATGAACATGGATAATAGAATGTTTTTCTTAATATCTCTGCACTGAATTTTATAACGTCATTGGCACTTTTTAACAAACGTTGTATTGACCATGAAAATATTTCCAGGAAACAAAGCCAGTAGGGGTCCGGTAATGATCATCTCTTACTGATCCAGTACTTGTTACTACAGGAGGAAACCTAAACTAAACTGACTTTATTTATATTGGATAGCTCTATCAAATATAAACTGTTCTTCCTAGAGGTCCAGTAAGGATCATCTCTTATTGATCCAGTGTTATTATATGAGGAAACCTAAACTAAACTAACTTTATTTTTAATGGATAGCTCTTTCTCTTAATAATATTGATCCAGTGTTACTATAGGAACAAAACAGAGTTCCTTCATAATACGTTAAGTATGACACAATGGTTGGGGCGTTGCTTGTGGTCACATGACTGTTAATTCAATTAAGGGGAGTGTTGATGAGACCTAATCGCACCTCTATAGGAAGAACAGTTTAGAACTGATAGAGCGATCCAGTATAAATAAAGTTAGTTTGGTTTAGGTTTCCTCCTGTATTAACACTGTATCAATAGGAGATTAGGAGATGGCTTGTTACTTAGTACATGCAAATCAGATCGAGTCTCATATCCAGCCAGCTCTCACACATTCTTACGAGAATTCTCACTCAACATCACAAGTCTGGGTTCTCGGAGATTAATGTAATTGCTCAATCAATTTGAGGGTTTATCTTTTCTATAAAGACACGATGTAACTTCCTGTGAGTGATGTTATGGCAATAGCCTATTTAACAATTAAACACGAGGCGTTACCGAGTCAACGAAGGTGAACTTATCCAAATATTGGCCATTACCCAGCAACTTTCTCATGAACGTTTTGCTTGAAATGATTCCAAGACGGCTAGATGAAATTTGAGTTGGGATGCAATTAACATGAAGACAGAGATAAGCAATATGAGCCTAATCCTATAGTTGGTCTAACATTAAAGACATTAAAGGTATTAAATTGCTTGACCCCAAGAGAAACTTGTGCTGTTTGGTAGAGTCAAACTTGCTTCTCGCATGTGGCTGAGGTGAAATTATAATCAGCAACTGTAAATTGCAGGAATCAAACCTCTGTCACAGAGATGAAAGATAGATGAAGTAAATCTCAAATTAACAAACATGTGATCACAACAATGACGTCTTATTCACCCAGCAGATGCCTGCATCCCAAACATAAGAATTCTTCGTATATAGAGGGGCATGAACCAAATTTCCTCGTTTAGGAAGAGAGAATGAAATAAAAGATGAGCCTTACTGGACCTCCAGGAAGAACAGTTTATATTTGATAGAGCTATCCAATATAAATAAAGTTAGTTTAGTTTGGGTTTCCTCCTGTAGTAACACTGGATCAATTGAAGAGATGATTCTTACTGGACCTCTGGGAAGAACAGTTTAGAACTGTTAGAGCTATCCAGTATAAATAAACTTAGTTTAGTTTAGGTTTTCTCCTAAATCAATTAGAGCTGACTCTTTAGTGGACCTCTTTTAAGAACAACCGTTTAGAACTGATAGAGCTATCCAGTATATATAAATAAAGCTATAGTTTAGTTTAAATTTCCTTCTGTAGTAACAACACTGGATCAATAAGAGATGACTCTTACTGGACCTTTAGGAAGAACAGTTTAGAATTGATAAAGCTATCCAGTATAAATAAAGAACTTATCCAATGATTTTATAATTATATTTTAAAACGGATTAAGCCATGTTTATCCCTTTCTAATAAATGTTTTGATACAGAACGTCAATAATGCAATCAGGCTAAAATCTTAAGCTTTCTTATAATGCGGAAACGATTTTTTTACGAGATTCTATTAAGTCTTTGCCATTTTTGGCTTGATTTCGTGAACTTCCCTTCACAGTTTTTATTTGGGAAACTAATCCTCTGGCTGTCGCACGAACGTGTATCAAACATGAGCATTATTGGGAGCATTGACCAGGGGCAATAGGAAGCCATTACGGAGTGTCAATGACGTTCAAAAATGTTACGTTGACAGTGTTTTGCGGCTTTTATACAAAACATTTCAACATTTCATCACAAAGTACTTTAATAGCAAAAGCTCAGATAACACGAAACTGGCATAAATCATATTTTATTGATGGCTAGATTGCTAGAAGTCTAGTAGGAGGATAAGAATCATCTCTTTTTGATCCTGACTACAGGAGGAAACCTAAACAAAACTAATTTTATTTATACTGGATAGCTCTATCAGTTCTAAACTGTTCTCCCTAGAGGTCCAGTAAAGATCATCTCTTATTGATCCAGTGTTACTACAGGAGGAAACCTAAACTAAACTAACTTTATTTATACTGGATAGCTCTATCAGTTCTAAACTGTTCTTCCTAGAGGTCTAGTAAGAATAATCTTTTATTGATCCAGTGTTACTACAGGAGGAAACCTAAACTAAACACTAACTTTATTTATACTGGATAGCTCTGTCAGTTCTAAACTGTTCTTCCTAGAGGTCTAGTAAGGATCATCTTTTATTGATCCAGTGTTACCACAGGAGGAAACCTAAACTAAACTAACTTTATTTATACTGGATATCTCTATCAGTTCCAAACTGTTCTTCCTAGAGGTCCAGTAAGGATCATCTCTTGTTGATCCAGTGTTACTACAGGAGGAATCTTAAACTAATGATTTTCTTAATGACATGAAGCAGATATTTCTGAAATTAAATTGGGATATTTGGACTCCTGCCCAAATCGAGATGGTACAAATCAGTAGCTACCACGCAAAAAAGCCATTAAGTCTAGTGTCAGTAGTAGATGTAACCATAAACGAAAGATGTAGGTTTCGCTCCGGAAATGGTAAATGTTGTAAATATATTTTTGTGCGTGGCTTGTTTTTTCCGTGTCGGATACGTGGGTGTAGGGAGGGGGATGGTTGGATAGATTGACGGATGGGTGAGGACAACTAATGGATATTACTGAGCTATATTGCTAGAATTAGTCGGTGCAGCTGAATTCGAGGCAATTGCTCTCTGGGGGAATGCTAGTACATCGATAAGTGGACAAACTTCTGTAGTAACACTGCATCAATAAGAGATGACACTTACTGGACCTCTAGGAAGAACAGTTTAGAACTGACATAGCTATCCAGTATAAATAAAGTTAGTTTAGTTTAGGTTTCCTCCTGTAGTAACACTGAGTCAATAAGAGATGATTCTTACTGGACCTCTAGGAAGAACAGTTTAGAATCGATAGAGCTATCCAGTATAAATAAAGTTAGTTTAGTTTAGGTTTCCTCCTCAGCAACACTGGATCAATAGACCCATTGCACTGACGTCACAAATCCTTAGAGTGTCCTCCAGATGCTCCCTAACAATATCTGTTCGGGTACAACAACCACATACGGCGCAAAAATTAACCATTTTAATACAAAATTATTTTACAGTTTTACAAAATTTGCTTTGTTTAAAAAAGTTATATTATGCATAGAATGCACTCACAGACTCCGATGCAACAAGGCGCTAATTACGTATTCATTTTACAGCTGCAAAGCGAGAGAAACTTTTGGGCTAATTTTTCATCCAATTTCCATCTACATTTAACGAAAATTTAATCAATTTGTCCTTGGGTAATGTCTATTGGTCTCACAAATTTTCATAGTGATACGTTTAATATTTTTTAAGTCATTGAGCTTACAAACATACATACATATTAAAAACGCATTAGTAGTTTGGTGTTCCAACATTTTTTTTGTGATTTCATCAGTTCATTAGTCCTGATTACGTTTTTTTAATTCAACGCCTGATTTTGTTACCGTCAGGCATTCAACACAAATATGCCTTTGTGAGTTTGGTCTTGCGAAATAACTTCAATAAACCAAACATCGGGGAACATATTGAGGCGACAAGTCGAAATTTTCCCATGGCCTTTGTAGCCATAGACGGTTGTATATTTTTATTTTAACGTTGGCAATCTCATTGTCCTCTGTTTAACAAAATAAGCAAACAAATTCTCATTTCGTTACCGTATTCTTGTGAAAACGAAATGGTCTGTTAGTTCAATGAGGTGTTAGTACGTACTGTTAATTCATGTGTTTTTCAATTTCCGTTGGATGATACTCCGCCCATGTGAAATTGATTATCATTAAAAATTTGCGCTATTAAATGATCGAGTTCGAATTTCTCATAGGAATTTCTATTGCGCTGACATTATACGCCCAAAGGAAGGGGAAGTTGTCACTATTTATGGAGGGGGGGATGCACCAAAGATAAGTGTTTTTCTTGGCAAAAATTTTGCCGATCCAACTATTAAAAGTCGATAAATATATTTTTTATCTAACCTCAAATATCAATTAAAAAATAAATACCCACCCCTAGCCAAAAACTTCGCAAAAGGATACCATTCAGTTTTCACCTTTTACCACTTGAATTCATTTACATATCGTATTGACACATGACTGTTGACATTGCTTTTTAGTCTTTAATATTCGAAAATGACAGTCTTCGAAAATGACAATAAATTTTTATTACCTAACTCTTGATTTGTTTTGTTTTTCATTTACCCAGCCTTTTACTAACTAAAAAAATTTGTTATTCAACCCTTTTTTTCCATCTGTGCCCCCCCCCCCTCCGCCATAAATAATGCCCGCTCCCAAAGTACTATCTGCCAGAGCGGCCAAAATATTACAATACCAAATCCGTCCCCCCCCTGGGTTAATACATTGAATTCCCATGACGCATTTCCGGTCGAACTACTTATAGCGATATAAGAGACACATATACTCAACAATAACATTGTATTGCTTTCCCTATACTGTCTGTGTCCCGTCATTTACGCATTGAAGAAACCAAGCAACCCTTGGCCAGTGTCACGGTCACAAAAATGTGGTCCTTTATGGTGGCGTTTCTACTGGTCGTCGCCAGCGCAGAATTTGTACCAGAATATACAACAGAATCTATACCAGAATATCCCAACTCGACTGACGAACTGCGAACCATAAGTACAAATGCACCAGAGGATGGCAATTTTACTCTGAATAATTTGACATCAGAAGAAAACACGGCCAACACAACATCGAATCAAACCGCGTTTGAATTGATCATGGAAGCGAATTCCGATGTTGGTGAGTTAATAATAACCTATTGCTATTCATAAACGTTTCAGAAAGTGCATAATGTTGCATAGGATTAGATTATAACGAACGATACGTGCAGATCTTCGTTTCTGTTCAAAGGCGTTGAAATATACGCCGGAATAGGCTGCTATTGGCCCAACGGTTCGTCCGTATTGAAAAACCGCATAAATCGCGCTTTTGTTCGACGCATTTTATGTTACGCTGCCGGGAAGCAATCCAACATATCGTTGCGCGAGTGCGCGTTTGCGCAAACATGTACGCGACAAAAACGCGCTTATCTTTTGCTTATGCAAATATGCGTGACGGCTTGTATGTCGATGATTCAACTTAGAATTGGCAGAAACGCGTCTGATTAAAAAGTACGTTATCCTCGAAGGGAAACCGGGGCTATATGATTAGAATTTCCTGCTTCGTAGACCGGCGCATATAAACCGCAGCGCATTTTTTCAATTGCGCTACGAAGAGCATTTAGAACTCATGCATTCTTCTCACCCGCTGCGGATGGTCAACCTCGAGTTTCAAAAATTCTTTCATGTAAAACTAAAATTATAAAATTTTAAATGCAAGCTATATACCTCTGTTTTTCAATTTATTTCTACTCGGATATCGCATAGTATAATAAAAAGCGCGGAGACACCGTTTTTATAGTATTAAAAAAGTTAATGTTTTTTTACACAGTTTGATTCGTGTTGTGCTTTGGATATAATAACATGATTAATTAGTATCATGGTTCATTTATGTGAGGATCATGATCTCATCTGTACTGAAAATTTTGCATTAATTTGAGGTTTCTTGTGACAGAAGTTTGATCATTCTTAAAGCAGACGCCTTTTAAGAGATTGTGGAGGGTTAGATTTAAATGATATGGGTTAAACAGCACGAATGCACGACACAGAGCATAGGAATACAAACACTGTCTAATTACAGGATTTGTTAAATTATATCTCGTATTGGTAAAGCGATTATGTTCGCCATTTGGTCCATGCCAAGCACGTGAGTCCAGCGTAGGTAGTATTCTACAATAAGCTGCCGTGGTTTGTGTCTGAACTACCTGAAAAAGATATCTCAAACGTGGTGGTCCAGTGTAGGTAGTATTAAAGCTGAACTACCTGAAAAAGATATCTCAAACGTGGTGGTCCAGTGTAGGTAGTATTAAAGCTGAACTACCTGAAAAAGATATCTCAAACGTAGTGGTTCAGTGTAGGTAGTATTCTACAATAAGCTGTCGTGGTTTGTGTGTGAACTACCTGAAAAAGATATCTCGAACGTGGTGGTCCAGTGTAGGTAGTATTTTACAATAAGCTGTCGTAGTTTGTGCATGTCTCAACTACCTGAAATAGATATCTCAAACGTGGTGATCCAGTGTAGGTAGTATCCAACAATAAACTGTCGTGGTTTGTGTCTGAACACGGTTAATAGAAATAGGAACCGTGGTCTGAACTACCCGAAAAAGATATCTCAAACGTGGAGGTCCAGTGTAGGTGGTACTAATGCCAGCGATTTTCGAATATTATGACCTTTAATTATTTAGACAAACAATAAAGCAGAATACACATATTGGTCGTTTTAATCTTAATCCTTGTGTGGAATTTATCTAGGACGTTTAGGAATGTATTTATTAAACTAAACATGCAAAAGACTAAACTAACAGTCTTTCCTACTTTGAGAAAAAAGCGTTACGGATTTAGCTAGTTTACTTTTTGCATTTTGAAAAACAAGTATAGACGCGCACGCCCTTGAGCTGTATTCAGATTATATTTGCTCAATGACGCGTTTTGAAATTTTTGCGCAAACTTTAGTGCATACCGCAAGGGCAATGAATGAACATTTAGTGCGTATGTAATGATGTTATGTCTTCGAAAGATTCTTGAATATCAAACATATAGACATTATAGTAAACAATACACTATACAATGCTTATTTATGGTTTTCCCAGACGAAACAAGGTGTTTAATAGGTACTTTGCACGCGCTTTATTAATGATGGCTTTTATAGCAGGGATGAAAATGAGTTAGAATTCACGCCAGCCTAAACTTCGCAACGCTTTACAGCAGGTAAATGGAATTCTAGCTATGTAAAACGCCAGGCAAGGTTGCACACTTATGCTCCCTCCCCCCCTCCCCCCCCTCCCCCATGTGACTGCCCGCCTGGAAGATTCGAACAATTTCATCCAATAAAAATGTGCAAAAGATGTGTTGCCTAAAGTGCTTATACCAATAGATACAATGTAACAGTTTTCACAGAGATAACGCAATTAGAGCAATTAGTAGGTAGCGCAAAGAAGCGCAAAGTAGCGCAAATTATGCTTAATGACAGCTGTGCGCGCTAATTATTCCTCGAGAACTGTGAGTAATGAGAGCGATGTTTTCCCGAGGTAACAACTAGGGAACGCAATTGATCTTTGAAATTAAACTAACTGTATTTAGACTGGATAGCTCTACCAGTTCCAAACTGTTCTTCCTAGGGGTCCAGTAAGGATCATCGCTTATTGACCCAGTGTTACTACAGGAGGGAACCTAAACTAAACTAACTTTATTTATACTGGATAGCTTTACCAGTTCCAAACAGTTCTTCCAAAAGGTCCAGTAAGGATCATCTCTTATTGATCTAGTGTTACTACAGGAGGAAACCGTAACTAAACTAACTTTATTTATACTGGATAGCTCCACCAGTTCTTAACTGTTCTCCCAAGAGGTCCAGTAAGAATCTTATCTTATTGGTCTAGTGATAATATATAAGCTAATGAGCCGCGAGAATTTTTTGCACACGCTAATATCGATTTGAATAATGCCCTCCCAGGTCGACTTGATAAGCTAGAAAGTAATATGTCAACCTGTATATATATTTGAGAAAGTGTGCCAAAACAAGAATATAAATTTAAAAGGCGAAATCGTCTGCGCTAACCAAGATAACAGATTTAACTCTTGAGGCTGTTCTCTTCAGGGTAGTTTTTAAATGTAGAAATTTATTGACAACTCCCCATTGGGATTTTTCAGTGACAATTACGCTAATCTCTGAGATATGTCACTGTCAGATCAATGACTGAAAAAAAAATCCGAAATTGGATGGATATTTTTTTTAAAAGGGAAAGTCCTATTTTAAAACAATGAGGCATTATACTTAAGTCCGCTAAGCGCATGGAAATGTTTATTTTATTTAGATAAAGGCGTTTTGCAAATGTTTGCATTTCATAGCCGATTATATGCTATGACAAATATTTTAAAAAGTTTTTCCAACTTTTGACAAAGACATTTATTCGGTGCAGGTGGCACAATAAACACGCGCAGCCCTGAAAATATTCTCTCAAAATTTTGTGGAAATTTTACGACCTATGTCTATGAAAAGCAAAATAAGCAAGCTTGTTGTCTGCTTATATCTAGTTTTTCTGTGCGCTATAATTGGCCCGTTAATCCATTGTTATTTATCAAAACAATCTTGAAATTATCACTTTTATCTTTTTGGCTGACAAAAGAGTGTGTTGGTGGCCCAGCAGTTGTTAGGCAAGTACATTTACATTTCTGCAGTACGCTTACTGGACCTCTTGGGAGAACAGTTTAGAAGAGATAGAGCTATCCAGTATGAATAAAGTTAGTTTAGTTTAAGTTTCCTCCTGTAGCCTAGTAACACTGGATCAATAAGAGATGATCCTTACTGGACCTCTAGGGAGACCAATTTAGAACTGATAGAGCTATCCAGTGTAAATAAAGTTAGTTTAGTTTAGGTTTCCTCCCGTAGTAACACTGTGCACAGATCAATGAGATATGATACTTGCTGGACCTCTAGGAAGAACAGTTTCGAACTGATAAGAACTTTCCAGTATATTAAATGAAGTTAGTTTTAATCAGTGATTTTTATTACGAATCATCTCGAATATCACTACACTAGTCCAGTTAAATTTTGCCCAGTGAGCATGTTTGTATTCTATTATCGCGCACAAGGGGTGTCAGACGCAAGCACAAATAAATTATCATCCGCGGCACAATCAACAGTTCTATTTAAGGGATGGCTGTTGCTGGAACTCTCTAGTCTAGAGAACATAGCTATCCAGTAAAATAAAGTTAGTTTGCGTTTCCTCCTATAGTAACACTGGATCAATAAGAGATGATCCTTACTGCACCTCTAAGAAGAACAGTTTAAAACTGATAGAGCTACCCAGTATAAATAACGTCAGTTTAGTTTAGTTTAATTTTTCACCACCAATTATTCATATCGGATCTAGTTTTCACCACCGTAATTTCTGAAAGGAAAGATCGCTAATAATAACATCCATTCTCACATCACAGGGTTCTCCTTTCGTCCGGAAACTCTTTTGAAGAATTTGAGAAGTTCCTGCCAGTGAAGTGTGCCTGGTATATTATAAAATTCATGTACTAATGATTCAATCGACTGTCGCAGCAGCGCGCATCAAATGGAAAATGGAAAATCGTTCCGCAACGCGACTCCATTTCCCTTGCTCCCTCCAAAACGCCTCTGGGCAGCTCAGGACCACACTGTTAGGATGCATAAATGGCGCATTGCGCAGTTTATGCATTGACAGGCATGTGGAGACGCAATTTTTAATAGCAGCCAACGTTGCGCAATTTTTTTGTTAAATTAACACACAATGCGTCAAGTATGGTTTTTCCTTTATCTGCATACATCGCGTGTTTTCGTGATACGTTGCACGATACGCAGTAAAAAATGTGCTCATTAAACTCAACGTTATCTAAATCAGTGACAAACTACGGCCCAAAGTGAAACACTGAAACTAATTATCATAATTTGCGTCAGTGCTTTACTTTGTTACGGGAAGATATGAAAATGTTCTTCATTCCACATTCAAATATATTAAAGAAATATACAACCCCTTTGAAAGCTGTAAAAAAATTAGATAAAGTGAATCACAGAACAAAATATATCGCACTTTAGTCTTTACATGGCTTCAATATTCCTAGTAATATTCAGGTGTTTAGCATATAGTTTGCGCTTTATGCTAATTTCTTGGTACAAAGCTAGGTGATAATAACCCGGCCTGATAATAACCAAATATATAAAATATACAATTTAACCAACGGAGTTTTGGGCGACTCTGTTGAAGGAATATTTCATCATTTGATTCTAAAATATTTTTAAATTTACTTTATTTGGTGTGAGGCTGGCCCACAGCAATGTTAAAAGTTCGAATTATTTAAGGAACAAAACACGGCACGCGACCTTGGAAACAGAAACCCCCAATCTTGCTTAATCCACATGTCATAATTCTATTAATTCGCGTACCTCATTTGCATAATTCACAACTCATTTGCATAATTCACGCATCATTTGCATAATTCACGCAACATTTGCATAATTTGCGTGGAATCCGTTGACTCCCAAACGAAATTTTTTTTAACGAAATTACTATGAACAGACTGAACTTGGCAACAATGATTGCGCGGAAAGGCGAGAGGAAAAGCAAAAATTGTTGAACATGTTGAAACGCAGCATGAACCATGGAGGCTCGATGAAGGATTACAAATACAACCAAGACGGAAATCTCAAGCTATGATAAAATAAATCAAACTACATGCTTAGCAGGTTACTGGCGCTATAGGCGCACGCGACCTAACTTTATTTATGCTGGATAGCTGTATCAGTTCTAAATTGTTCTTCCTAGATGTCCAGTAAGTATCATCTCTTATTGATCCAGTGTTACTACAGGAGGAAACCTAACTGAACTGAACTAACTTTATTTATACTGGATAGCTCTATCAGTTCTAAATTGTTCTTCCTAGATGTCCAGTAAGGATCATCTGTTATTGATCCAGTGTTACTACAGGAGGAAACCTAAACTAAACTAACTTTATTTATACTGGATAGTTCTATCAGTTCTAAATTGTTCTTCCTAGATGTCCAGTAGATTAATTAAGACGAGTTGAGTTGATGTAATATTTACACGCAAACAAAACGTGGGATAGGTATGAGAGATAGGATCATCTCTTATTGATCCAGTGTTACTACAGGAGGAAACCTAAACTAAACTAACTTTATTTATACTGGATAGCTCTATCAGTTCTAAACTATTCTCCCTAGAGATTCAGTAAGGTCTGTCTTTTATTGCTTCAGTGTTACTACAAAAGGAAATTCGAAATAATATTATTTATTCTGTGTGCCTATCAGTTCTAAAATAGGTCATTCCTATCCCACGTTTTGTGTGGGTGTAGATATCACATCAACTCGTCTTAATATACTAAGTCATAAAAAATGTATTTTAGATTCAAACTAATTATCTTTGACTTTCGAACCCTCGTCGATCCTTACATATTTGATTCCCTTCCAAAAACTCTTGAAATTATCCAAACAGCCGAACTTAAATCTGCTAATTTGTGAAACTATACGTTAACGTTGGCCAGGGATACGCTTTTGTTTTTGTACATATTTGGAAATAAAATCCTGTTTATGTAAGCTAGAAATCTAGAGATTTCTGGAATAACTGCAGGAGAAGTGCGTAAACAGTTTTCATCGTTATAAGTGATTGTTTTTATTGAATTATACTCCGTCAATTTCTACTGACGTCATTTATACAATTTGCGAGGTGCGACACATTCAAATTTGACCCTTTTTCAATTGACCCTGGCATTGTGTGTGTTTCACTGTTTCCCCCTCTTTTTTTTAACAGAGATTATGGCAAAAATTGCAAAGCTTATCACTTATTGCATGTGCGTTTCACCACGATTCTATTCCTGCATAAAATGTGGAAGATTTGTGATTTTTCTGAGTATAGGACGTGGGCTGACAATAGGGAGTTTAAGCTTCACGTTTCCGAGAACGGCAAACGGCGGGTTCGAATTTTCTTGGCAAAAATTTTCGTTGAACGTTTTCGTTTCATATTTTCTTTCTTGCGTCGAAAGAATAATTATGCATTTCGGTTTTAAAGCAGCAAGTTCATTTACTCTTTATTGCCTGATACCGTGAAATTTTTCTTCGCCTGCCGTTTGACGTATAACGCGAAGCTTAAACCCTCTAATATAAACATGAGCTCAATGAAATCTCTAGCAGAGACTAAGGGATTGCTGTGAGCGCTTCATTTTAAGAGAACCTTGAAACTAGATTGCATTCAGAGCACTTTTGATCAGCAGTGTGCAACACATATCTATCGACATGTGTCTAGATAATTTGTTAGTTTGTTCTGTGAGCACTCCCAACACTATTGTGTTACAGGTAAAACATAAGGAATGTGGGAGATTTCTTCAAATTGTCTTCATGTGGGAGGGAGATGGTTAATGACTCCAAAGTCTTCCGCCAGATGCGGGAGACTTGGTAGGTCTGCTATTCCTTTTTGTAGATAGAGTATTTGAGCGCAAAGTTATACACATTTCATACTGGCATCGCTCATAACATATACATGATTTTGTGGTCAATGAATGGCATGCTTAGCAACTAGTCTATGTAGTGTATCTCAGTTGGTTACAGCGCTGCACCGGAATCGTAGGGCCGCATTTTCAATTCCTGCCAGAGGGCATGGTTGCATTTTTCCCAGCTGCTCGTTCTTTAATAGGTGGCTTAGGTCTAGAATGTATATAAATTTGCTTACGAAAATTACATCGACAAAAAACGCATCTACACTAAATCCTGTCTGTCACCATATTTTAGCATAAAAAACGTAAGCTTCGTCGAACGAGAGTTGATAAGATTTTGTAGTCACGCATTGTTACAGGGGACATTTCAAGCTCTAGATTCAACAAAATAAAGGTTTGACGAGTGTTCCAACTATGTTTTAACTTCAATAGAATACATGGTAGTGTTGGAAAAGCATTAAAAACAGCTAACCAAGCTCGTGTGACTATCAACTCTTATCTCTTTTGATCCGGGTCAAGTATAACATTTCTAAAGCACAAAAATGGTCTCTAAACTTTCCCACGGGTAAATGTTATTACAGATCCTAGACTATGCCTCTTTGTTTTCGTACGGATGCTTTTTATGCAAATTAAGCTCTCGAAGGATGTTTTATTGCGCGTTGCTTACGCAAAAATATTGTTAGTGTAAAGACGGTGCTTCCGTAAGTGTCTCAAACGCGCCGCAACCAACAGGGGGCTCGCCCGATTAAATGCTGGGTTCAACCGTGATGGCTTTTCCATCTGTCAAACGAAAATATCGAATCCGGGGGGAGGGTTACTCGCGTAGCGCTAATGAACTAGATTGAATTTTTTGCGCGCTTTTGACATTCCCGCGCGCGATTTCTAGTTAAACGCATTTTTAGTGTGCGCTTTTTTAGGCTCGGACTCTTTTCTGCTGTTAAATATTTTCTTGTGGAAGGCATCTCGTCGCTTGCAAGTTAGAACTGCAAGAGCGACAAGAAAAAACACTTAAATTTTTGGGTGCAGGAAAAAGGCACATTACTAAGAGTCTATTTGATTATAATGCGGTCAATATGTGTGTTTATATGTGTGTTTGTCACTGAGCATGATAACTCAGAAACTATCAAACGTATGAACACAAAAATTCGTGCGAGTAATGAACATTACCCAGAGACAGGTTGATTGAATTTTGGTTAACTTTGGATGAGAAATGATAAGTCTTTATTGACGTTGTGCTTTCCAAACCCTTTATTGTAATTATGGAAGATAATGAACAGAACAAGCAAACTTTGCAGTCGAAACCGAAATCGCATTCCCTTTTCACAAACGGGTGATCGCATGGCATGGAGAACAGCGAGATTTTCAAAACAATGAAAAGACAACGAAACATTCTGATCACTAGATCGTGACTGGATGACATGGAGAACAGTGAGATTTTCAAAACAATGAAAAGACAATGGAACATTCTGATCACTAGATCGTGACTGGATGACATGTGAGATTTTCAAAACAATGAAAAGACAATGGAACATTCTGATCACTAGATCGTGACTGGATGACATGGAGAACAGTGAGATTTTCAAAACAATGAAAAGACAATAGAATATTCTGATCACTGGATGGTCGCTCTGATCACTGGATGGTACCCATTCGATAGCCCCTCTCCTCGGATAGTTATTATATTGCAAATTAATTCCTCTAAGTAGTTTTCAAATGGTCTAGAAAGTGGACCGCGAATTCAATTTATCACATTCATTTTTTTCCGCAGGTGAGGATATCGAAGTTCACGAATTTGATATGCGCTTTCCAATGGCGCAATCGGACGCCGTTGAGGGACAAGAGGACGCGCCAATCAGAGATCGATCAGCTCTCTGGCCGGGGGGAGTGATCCCTTATGAATTTGGAAACACTATTGGTAAGACAAAAACACTATTGGTAAGGTGATAATAGATACCTTACCTGCTGGCTTATTTTGCTTGATACGGCTTGCCAAATACATGCATTTCACATTCTTCGTCAGAATCGGTATTGGTATAATCGAGTGCTCTGCCCTAAAATTTCAAGAGTGGTCAGTGAGATTCTGACTGGCTGACAATATCATCATGTTTGAGTGATAGGCTATATACTGAACGAGAAAATGTTCATTTCTGCATATGTGTTGAAAACTAGACGATAGCCGAGCTTTTCCACATATTTTGGGGCGTTTTATACACCGATAATAAACACCTTTCGAGTTTGTTATATTACTTCTCAAACGGACAAAAACACTTTTTGTTAACGATAGATAACGAAAAAATACTTTATGAATGTTGTGTAACTTGTGTTCAAGTGAGGCCAAAAGTAAAGTCCAACTTGGGCGGCAAATTTAAATATAAAAACTATAAACTTTTTATATTATTATAGTTTTTATATTAAAATTTGCCGCCTAAGTTGGCCTTTACTTTCAACAGTAGCTTTTGGCCTCACTCGAACACAACGTTCATATAATGCTACTGAAGGACAACTTTGTACGTATAATACTTTATTCCCGAATCTGTTTAGGAGGGCAACGATGGTTTAAGAAGCTGATTACAGGAGCGATGAGCGAGTGGGAAGCTAAAACCTGCATTAAATTTCGTCGAAAGACAGTATATGATAGAAATTATGTGCATATTCATATTGGAAATGGGTAAGCCGATAGATAAACCAAAGAGAAAAAAATATTTTGTGTTGAAGTCATTAGTTCCTTTGGTGCTCATGAAACAAGTAAATATGCTATGTTTCAATCATTCTGATTACCATCATTACCACCATCATTATTAACTACCATCATCATCACTATTATCACCATCACCACCATCATCATATCATCACCATCATCACCGTGACCATCATTATTATAGCCATCATCACCATCATCATTATCACCACCATCATTATCATTACCATCATTATTACCATCATTATTACCATCACCATCATTATTACCATCACCATCATTATTACCATCACCATCATTATTACCATCACCATCATTATTACCATCACCATCATTATTACCATCACCATCATTATTACCATCACCATCATTATTACCATCACCATCATTATTACCATCACCATCATTATTACCATTACCATCATTATTACCATCACCATCACCATCATTATTACCATCACCATCATTATTACCATCACCATCACCATCATTATTACCATCACCATCATTATTACCATCACCATCACCATCATTATTACCATCACCATCATCATCATTTTTATCATCATCATCATCATTACCATCACCATCATTATTACCATCACCATCATTATTACCATCACCATCATTATTACCATCACCATCATTATTACCATCACCATGACCACCACCACCACCCTCATCACCATCACCCTCACCCTCATAATCACCATCACCATATCGTCACCATATCATCACCATATAATCACCACCTATTCACATTTCTATTTTACAATTGAAATATTCATTGTAGATGTAATTCAGACGTAGGGATGGTCGGAGGACGACAAACTATCTCGCTGGGTAACGGCTGTGCACATCACAGCGTAGTACTTCATGAACTCGGCCATGTAGTCGGCTTCTGGCACGAACAAAATCGCCCCGACAGAGACAGCTATGTCAGGATTGTGACGAAGAATATTATCCCGAGTAAGTGAAAGTTATTGGATAGTTATCCAATGATAGCTCTATCAGTTCCGAGCTGGGGTTTTTAAAGAAAGATTTAGACTACATCACACACCGGAACAATTTGGGATTTCAACAGGAATTTAAATTTTCTAGTTGAATCCAAAGAAGTTTTCATCGGAAGAAATCACTCCAATGAAAGATTTGCCCAAATTTATAACCAGGGGTGAATCTAGTCTCATCTGCATTGAGGGTGCACGTTTTCCATTGGGTGTATGAGGGGGCCTCACTGCCCACTCTCCTCTGCAGTCTGCAACGCTACTATCCCAACATTACCATTATTTGTGGTGGCTGAATCTGCATGTTCGCCATTCTGTTGCGCTTTACATTATATTTGTTTATAAAGTTTATATCGGGTTTTTATCACGCGTGCGTGACTGGACAGTTGCTCTAGCACAGTACAATAAACTTGCTTGTTAAAGTACAGTATATTTGAAAATATGGCTGTATAACGACCTCGACATGTTACCATATTTAACCATATGCCCTGACCGACCTGACCGCGTAGCTCAGTTGGCAGAGCATTGGACTAGTATTCCAAAGGTCGTAGGTTCGATTCCCACCCATGCCAGGTTATTCCGCTCCGCCTCGGTGAATTATTTTTCAAATTTATATCTAAAAAGGGTTTTTCAGAACCCATTTACAAAATTATTTTATAAAACTACAATTTTAAAATATTTACAGTTTCTACAAAGTTAGGAATAAAAATGACTGATATCTAAGTTTTTAATAGTCTAAAATAGGAAGTAGTCTATAG